ATTCCACCTCGGGATCCCATAGCAATAATGATTGAAGGAAGCAATAGCTCTGGAGCACTTGCTATCGGTTCGAGCTGAACTTTGATTTATAATGGCACGAGTGGTCTTAATGTTGATCCAGGCAGAAACACCTGTGGAACACAACTGTCCATTGCTAATTCGGTTCAGTACACTAGCTATCGGTTTCTTGTTACTAGCAAACGTAGTTTTCAGAACTCGGTCCAGGACTCTAAAGTATGGCTCTACAACTAGCACCATCTTTTTAATGTTACGCGTTTTACTAATTACAGTTTTGAATAGAAACGTATATTGAACTATAATTCTAGTATTGCTGTCTCTCTTTATAAATTGAAAAAGTGTGCTAATTCGAATAAAATAATTTTTATTACAGACATAATTTTTAGTTGAATTTGTCAGATTATGTACTGGGTAACAATTAATAAATAAACACTGTAAAAGTAAGGATTTAATTTGTAAAGAAAGTTGGCTGCTGATTCAAGTCATGAGTGGCTGGAAAAGACTACACTTTTCGTATATTGCAATATTCTTCTCTTCTTTAGACTTCATTGAATTAATTTGTTCATTCAATTTTCTACAATTGAACAATGAGTTTGTGCCTAGTTTGTTGTCTCTCATGTCTTCCGTTCAGAGTTAAAATATTATATATACAGTGTGACTCAAAAGTCCATTTCTAAAACTTGTTTCGTATGTCTCTACTATTTTATTTTATTTTATCAACTGTTTTTTTATATGACAACTGGATACACCGAGATTTTTTTATATGAATAAACTTGAAAAGTACTGTTGAAAGATACCATCCTTCATTGAAATACAAAAATTAAATATTTTTTCTATTTTGAGAAAAGCATTTTGCAGAGTTTTGTCTTGTATTGCTTCGATTTTTCAAGTTATTTTAATGTTTTAATCGTCCAGATCTTTAATTTTCATTGATAGACATTTGTTTCACTATGCTTTCATAAAAGAAATCCAATAGTGTTAAGTTTGGTGACCGTGGAGTACTTGAGGTCGACCCACTTTTTCTTATTCATCAATCAGTCTGTAGTCATTCAAAAAACAGAGAGTTATTCTCCTCCTCCTACACTGATCAGCCCTAGTAGAGAGTACTATTTTTAGACAGATCTATATATACAATGTTGAGTGTTCATCTGTGCCTGCGTCAAAGATCACCTGCCAATGAATGAATCATACACTTGAGGATCAAAGCTCAAGGAATATTGGTAAATCCAGACTGGCTGATAGTAGTAATTGCCACCATTCAGAGACGGTATTAGGATTGAAAATAAACATGACAGAGTTAGGCTCGTTCAGGTAGTACTAGCACATACATCTGTTCATCACTTCTTCATGCTTAGTGCATCAACTTCTTCCACTTCAATTTTGTATCAGCTCGCCCGCCTGTTTTTTTTTATTAATGTTTTTCTCTGTTTTCATTCCTTCCCACTCTATTCCTCGCGTTTGATTTAAATAATAAATTTATTTCAGTGAAAAGATGATAATGTATTACTGATAATAATTCGTTTTGTATCATTAATAGAATTTCATGACATCATTCAATGAAACAATTTTTTTTTAAACAGCTTCCAATATGTGTGTTGAGCTTCGAATTTTTGTTTTTCGTTCTTTCTCCATGAAACATAAGTAGTGTGACGTAATTAATTATTGCGATACGTAATGCATGCATCCCAGATCCTTTATATAATGAGAGAGTAGTTGAAAAGCAGTCAGCACAGTCTCCTATTCTTCGATTTTGGCAAGGATTCAAGTGAATATCTTATTACACAATGAGAGTACAAACGAACAATAAGGATGAGGGTGTGAGTAAAGAGAAAAATATCATCCTTGCTTACATCCTCAGCTGCGCCTTTTTCTCTCCCCATTCTTAAAGTCCTACTCATAATAAAAACGTTAAAAAATAGCCAGCTACGAAGTATTATCGTTAATATCAATAAAGAATGGCAAGAACGTCAGGATGTTTTTATCTTGATTCCGATCATCGTCATAAAAATATAATACTTAATCGATTTCCTTTGAAAAAGAATGTTCTGGTGACCAAGCAGCGTGAAATTGTACAAAAGCAATCAATGGGCTTTGCTTAGGCCATACATGTTCATTGGGCATCTGATGATTAATAAAATCAAGATGAGCACGTGCATTGACAAGTATTTCAATAATCATCAAAAAATATTGATTCTGGTGTTCGCGTATGCATTGGGATTCGAAAATATATTTTTTTTTAAATAGACTGAAACCATGAATTAGACTGGACTAAAGCTCCAATCATCGAGGACAAATTTATAATGCATGCATTTCAGTTGACTAGTATTTAGAAAACTCGAAACATATTTACCGAAAAAGATAGAATTACTTAGATCCAAATCAAAATATTTCCATGAGTATTGTAATCTATGATACATTTGTCATTCATTTTTTTTTCGGCTAATTATTTTTTGAACCAAGTCGATGCCAAGCTATTCAATATATCTATCATGATCAGTGGGATAGGCAAAAAAAGGCAAGATTCACTTTTCTTCATCTGTACTTTAGTGTGCTACATCAGAACGATAACATTCAAAGCTCAGTGTCATACCTTTCCTGCAATAGCTATCAGTAATGCATAAACGATCATTATCATGTTGAATCTGTTCAAGTTCATCAATTGATGAACGTTTTTTCTGAAAACCATATGCAACGATTGGTTAAGTCATTATTTTTTTCCTAAACGAAGCAAGATACTTTTTGCGTGCGAATATCGTAGTAAACATACCATCCACTGTGGTTCATGACGTGTAATGAAATTGTCGAAGACCATGCATGCAGAAGAAATTAGCTCGAGATCATCAAAAGTTGTCTCATCCTCAGTATATTCGAGCAAAGCATCAATTGCTTTACATGCTTGTTTCTCGGCTACTAATATCATAGGTATCTTTTCATCATGATTTTTGATACTCGTAGAAGCGGCTGTCCAACACAAGAGCTGTATTGATTCCAATTGGTCTCCTAAAACGCCAAAAGTCAATGCGGTGTATTAATAAACGTATGTCCCGTATTCAAATTCAGTATCTCTATGTAAGAGATAAGCGACGATGTTTTTTGTGGTCGTAGTGGGTCGATAGAATCAAGCTACCACATTTTTTCTCATCATTTGTTACTGTTCGATTGACAGCAGCTCTACCCACATCTATTAGAGTACATGCTACTATGAAGTGATCACGATCAAAGGCGCATCATAAAGTAGTTACATTTTCCACAAGATCTCCCTGATAATTGTATGCGGATTCCTCCAGTTCGACATGTTAGACACTGGCAGGAGAATTAGAAAGTATCATACGCCCTACCTCATCGTGTTCCTTGAGAGAGACCAAAATCAGTAGACTGAATTATTGTTGTAAGAAGATTGCAAACGTAAGACTGTTTAAGAAGATATTCACCGAGATCGATCGATTTACCGTGCCGAACCAAGTTATAAAGTTCTTTTTCGATGTTGAAATTGCCATTGTTCATCAATATGTTATTCATCTGATACAACTTTCTCGGTAAATGAGTAAGCAACTCGATTTATGTGAAACAAATACTTTTTACCCAACGTCGAAAAGTAAATCGATAAAAATGAAGAAACTACAAACATAACACACATATATGGACAGAATAATTCATTAAGTAGTGAGCAGAACACAAACAACTAAATCAAACAGTATGAGAAAAAATTGCAACCAATTTGCTTCATATGAGAATAAGGATAACGAATTTTTTTGTTAAACAATCGATAGAACTTTTCATGATAGTTCTGTATTTTTAAATAGGAAATGAACCGAGTTAACTTGTTAAATATGAAAATAATTTTGAAATAATTGAATATTACGGACCACAGGCAGATAATTAATTAATGAAGCAGTAACATGAAAGTTGTTATATTTTTGAATGTAATTAGTATTGAACTTTTTGTTTTCATATTTTTCCTATTATCTACTCATTCAAATATTACGCACTCTTTTGACATATTTATTGAATGAATGTTATTCAATAAAGAAGAAAGAGTATATTTGGACAAGCAGGCTCTTTGTGGAAAGTTTTTGTTTCTATACGAGACATCGAGAAGAAGAGGTGTCAAAGTGAGAGAGTAAAAAATGCCACGTTTACCTGAATGCTCTTTATAGGTGACCCTTACAATATAATACTATCAACTTATAAGGCTAGTAATTTTCGAAAGAATTTTGGGTGATTTCAGAAAAATAAGTTTAATAAAGCTTAAAATTACTCATTGCCACAAATTTTAAAAAAAAGAATAGTTTATTGTGAGTGCAAAATTTTATATAACGCAATTCATTTTTCTTCACAGTCCCATCTTAAACAAAGCTATGTAAAATATATGCACACAAGTTAGCCTACTCAGTCATCTTCATTTTTCATTTTACTCCAGACAATCCGAATGTACTCGTATCGAAAAAAACCTTTGTAAGCAATATGCAATGCATTGTTATTTCAAAAGATTACTATTTTTTCTATCAATTTATTGTTCATATCTCATTTCTTTCAATCAAAAAGAGCATGATACCATGTAGTCATTTATTTGACTGTAAAACAATCTGTCAAGTAATCATCCTTCTTCAAATAAGCGTAGGACGACAAATTTGATATTACGAAATCAGATATAAAACCTGGGCATTTTCATTTTGAAAAACGTATTACTTCATATTTATTGACAAAGGTAAGTGGATGTGTTTGTTGTAAACATGCTAAAATTTGTTGATGTTTTTCTTATTACAGTTAATACAAAGAATGTTCAGAGTGACTTTTCTTTTGTTGATCGTCTTGTCAAATTTACCAAGTGCAAGTAAGACAACACTTTCAATAATCAATATTGTATTCATAATCTTTATTTTCACCAACTGACGTAAAACGTTTAAAAATCATATTTGTAATTAACAGTTGTTTTAAATGATTTTAACTTAAAATTATCGTCTATTGTATTTTACACATAAATGATATTTATAAATATTTCTCTAATTGTGTATGTTCATTGTGTTGCCATAGGAAGTTGTAGTGCTCTATATGAACAATGTGGTGGAATCAATTGGACAGGTCCAAAACAATGTTGTAATGGATACACATGTGTTTTCCAAAATGATTATTATTCACAATGTCTTTTAACAACTGAAGGATCGGGATCTTCTAGCAATACGCCTCGTCCATCGACAACACAATCACCATCGAATACTGGTCGAAAAAATGGTGTAACAACTCGTTATTGGGATTGTTGTAAAGCAAGTTGTGGTTGGACAGGTAAAGCATCTGTTACAAATCCAGTGAAAACATGTGCACGAAATGGTATTACACAAGTCGATGTTAATGCTCAATCAGGTTGTAATGGTGGTAGTGCTTATATGTGTAATAATCAACAACCATGGAATGTTAGTTCAACTCTTTCATATGGTTATGCTGCTGCATATATATCTGTACGATATGATTTCTTTGATTAATGAAATATGAATTTATGATTTTTATAAAATAGGGTCAAAGAGAATCTAATTGGTGTTGTGCTTGTTATTCATTAATATTTACAACAGGTCCTGTTGCTGGCAAAGAATTAATTGTACAAGTAACAAATACAGGTGGTGATCTTGGTGAAAATCATTTTGATCTTCAAATGCCTGGTAGTGGAGTAGGTATTTTCGATGGATGTTCAAGTCAATTTCCTGAAGTTACTAAACCTTTATGGGGTCAACAATATGGTGGTATTAGTCAACGATCACAATGTAACAATTTACCAACCGTTTTACAACCTGGTTGCTTTTGGAGATTTGATTGGTTTCAGAATGCTGACAATCCAAAAATGTCTTTTAAAGAAGTTCCATGTCCAGCTGTTCTTACAGCAAATACACAATGTGTTAGAAGATAGAATACAAAAGAACATGATTAATCGATGAAGATATTTACTTCTATATTTTGCGCGATTTTTCTCGTAAAATTGAAATAAAACAATTAAAAGATACTTAATCTTCATTAGCATCTAATTTGAAAGTTAAATGCAAATATCGAACTTTTCAAGTCAAGTATTCAAAAAGATTTGTTATCACTTAGAGCAAATCATCAAGAGAGATTATACAAAATATTAATTTGAATGTTAAGTTTATGTAAAAAAAAACAAAAACAAACAATGATACTAGATCAAATAAAAAACTTAACAATAAATTATGAGTACAAATAAAAAAAAGAAATACATACAATTGACTGCTGTTTTTAAAATTTGGTTATGATGCTTGTTACAACAGTTGCTGTTGATTTCTTTTTTGATTCTCGTACATATTTCCACCATAGTTGAATCAAATGACATGACATCAATATGACAAGTGTTAATATAATTAACCATGCCTAAAATTAAATAAATATTCATTCTATGAAATGATGATGAAAGACAATAATAAAAGACTTACTCTCCATGAACGAGATATATCATCTGTTAATTTGACTAAACCATATTGAATAGTGGCAATTGTACCGACCAAAGTCCACATAACACCTGTTAATGTGCCAATATATTCTGATGGAAAACTAAAATAGAGACAAAATAAATATTCATAAGAATGAATACATTTTTAAATATTTTTTTTTCTTTCTTGAAATAAAATATTTCAAATTTCGAAATTTATGATTTTCTTTTCGCTTTTGTCAAAATTAGAGATTATCTCTACTATTGAGAATATTTTAAGTAAAACTCACAATGTTGCTACGACTGCTTGACTTCCACCAACAATTGTAGCTCGTGCAAAACAATTGATTATTAATGCTGGAATAATCATACTCGTTTGCGCAAACATACATACAATACATGCCACAATATTTATAAGCCATGATATAGTTTGCATTACTGATATATTAAATAATTTTTGTTTCTTACCTAAATAATAAATCAAAAATTTTGAAAGTCAATATTAAAAAAATTCAAATTTTACTTTTATCAGCTTTAAATCCAAGTAGAAAACCATTTACTGGACAAATAAGAATGGCAGAAACAGTAGATAAATTAAATGCAAATGTGTATTTATTAGCTAAAATAGAAAAAAAAATACATAAAATAAAATTCTTATTGAATGCAAGAATTTGTCACAATCGATCATATTGTTGTTTTTTTTTGTTACATCAATATTTGTCATATTACGAAAAGTCTGTTCTAATCAAAAAGATATTAATTACTTACTCAGTATTTTATCTTGTTTGGTGATATAATATACCCATGGATACCATGTTACAGCAAGAAATATTCCTGGTAATAATAGAATACTTAAAAATAACACCAATAACAAATACAATGGACTTGTTAAATGATGCCAAACACCTTTTCTTTTCAAAATTCGTGTATACCATTTTATTTTATCCATTTCATTGTTGTTTGATAATGAATTTTCGTCTAGATAAAAAGTGCAACATAAATAAAATAGAAAAAGTTATTGTGTATCCAATTGACTTACTGGTAGTGTTAGTTGAAGGAATTTTTTTCTTTTCCAATTTTGTATCGAATTGATAGGGTAAATTAAGAATCGGAAATCTCCAATCAAGAAATATGAATGAACTAATTAACATTAATACACTAAATGACATCCAGATGTAAGATAGTTGTTGTAATGTGATTTTTCCCGCATCAATTAAAACCTAGAAGAAAGCAATAGAAATTGCGCTGCAATCTCTACTCGAAGGGGTCGTATGGCTTTGTGGATGTAAGTGTGGGAAAAGAGAAGCAATACATTCACACACCCGCCACTGTATATAAGAGGCGTAGTCCCCCAAACTCATATTCAAACTGACACTGATTACTTCTATGGGGAGTTTCATAAATAATTTAGTAGTGACATACTTGAAATATTGAATACCACATTGTAGCTGATGTACAAGCTCCAGCAAATAATGCTGAAACGAATGCTCTTGATTTTGAAAAATAGTCACTTGATGTATAAGCTGTTAATAACACAATAATACCAGCCAGTGATGAAAAACTTGTATGAACGTATAAAAATGCATCTCGTCCTCAAAAGTAATAACAAACAATATTGATTGCCATTTACGACTATATCTATACACTTACCAGGTGCAACTAGTGCCAATGCTAACCATCCGATAAGATGAAAAACTCTAAAAGAAAAAAGATTATAAAAAGTAAAAATAGAAATGATAAGAAAAAAGTCGTAGTTTACATGGCAATTAATTTAACAAATCGACATCCGAATCGATCAATCAATGGACCAATAACTACTGATGGAATTTCAAATAAAATAATACCCAATGTTAATGCATTCTATCAGACAAATAGACAAAATAAATGTGAAAAATTGAATAATTATTTAGAAATACCTGATATTGTCGTGTTTGATGTCCTCCACAAGATAGATCTCCATTTTCTGTTTGCCTTTGATTGACACGTGAGGATGAACAATTATTTTTATCATCATAAATTCCATATTGAGGTAAAATTTGAAATAAAGCTGGAAAACCAAATATTGTACCACCAATTAAATTGACTTCAATTACAAGCCATATCAAACCAAACCATTTTCGAAATGAATGATGAACTGGTTTTTCCGATGTGTTTATTTTAACAAGAATAGTCATATTGATTGAGAACTAAACGAAACAAAATTCGATTGAATATATTGAATATTAAATAGAAGAGCAAGAAGAAGAAAGATATCTTGTCCATAGTGTTTATCATGATTTTATTTAAAAAGAGTTCATAGTTCACTTTAGATAATGAAATTACTTTATATTTGCAAGTTTGAATGATATTGAATTTTACTTTTTGTTGTATTTTTTATTTTTCGAATATATATATATGTATATAAACAAGTTCCTCATTCATGACCGGATGCTTCCTATTACTATGTGTCTCTGAATCATTATTGATTTACGCAGTAGGTGACTCATGTGTTCCTTTTTTACGATAAATTATTAACAGCGTTGGCGTATCGATATATCTAAAAGGAAAAAGAAAGAAATTAAGTTTTTGATGACGATATTTAATGATTATTTTTGGATACTGACGCATTCAGTATCATGATAGGATTGATATTTGTAACTATTTTTAAAAAGTCATGATATTTTCAACTTCCCCTTGATGTCCTACGCAAACGAATTTGTCATTTATATTACTAAGAGAAAACAAAATCCTATAAAAGCTCTATTGAAACCAAACATTCTTCACGAAACGAGAGCAATCAGTACAAAGCATAAGCTATTAGAAGAAACTTACAACATTCGTTTACTCACAGGTACGGTTTGTTAGTCCATCTTAATATGAAGCACTTGCTCGCCTGTATTTGTGAGAAAATAAAAACCAAAAACTCGTTTGTTTCTTCTTCTCCTAGAAAGATAACGAAAAATAAAATGGTTCACAAACGAAAATTTAGCTTAAATCTCGACCATGTACAACAAGAAGAAGGATTAGAAAATCCATCAACACCATCAATATTAACTCCATCGAAAGTAAAACACTTTCGTCGACAATTTAGTGAACAAAATTTTGGTAAGTCTATCGAATGTAGAGAACTGAAAATGAGTTCATTTAAACAACACAGTGTCAGAACTGACGATGAAACGCATGGTTAAACATTTGGTTTTTGTGCTGTATCGTTTTGGTTATAATAGAAACGATTGCATTTCACGGACTATTTTCATTTAGTAATTACAAAAATATATGTCTTGACACTGTACAGTCCCATAAATAGCAAACTTGAGAAGAACTTGAAACATTTAGTGATGAATAAAAGTTTAGAGCAGTTATATGTTTGAGTTTTCTTCTCAATGGTAATAGCCTCGAAGAATGTAAAAAGGCAAATTGAGTAGTTAAAATCGTTCAGGACTTATGAAACACTAAGGTCCCGAAAAGAATCAATTTTCTGACATCCGTTTGAAGTTTTTTGTGAACGCATTCAATTTACGAAATCAGTTTTAATCGATTTTTTAGATCTTATATCAATCCTGATAGAGAGCTCTTTCAGATACTTCATAGCTATTCCCATTGAGAAGCAACCTCAACAAAATCTCAATCGAGTTCTTCACAAAACTCAAGAATATTTGAATTTGTTTTCGTTTTTTTTATTCTACTCAGACGAAGAGGTCCTAATCAATCTGGTTGACGATGAAGAAAAACAACAACAAAAACCGTTATTATTAATTAATAGCATTGAAAAGTTACCATATAAAATAGCTGATATCAATCTAGCAGAATTAGGTCGAAAAGCATTGTCAATGGCTGAAGCTGAAATGCCAGGAGTTATGCGATTAAGAAAAATCTATGCTTCAAAAAAACCATTGAATGGTGTTCGTCTTGCTGGATGTTTACATCTAACAGCACAGACTGGCGTCATGATCGAAACATTTCGTGCATTAGGTGCCGAGGTAAATTAATTCTGTCTGATTCTCATTTTGTTTTCAATTGTTCATAGATGATTCTTATCTTCTAGGTTCAATGGAGTTCTTGTAATCCATTGTCAACCCAAGATCATGTTGCAGCTGCACTTGTTAAAGCTGGCATACCAATTTATGCCTGGAAAGGTGAAACGGAAGAAGAAAAANAGCATTGTCAATGGCTGAAGCTGAAATGCCAGGAGTTATGCGATTAAGAAAAATCTATGCTTCAAAAAAACCATTGAATGGTGTTCGTCTTGCTGGATGTTTACATCTAACAGCACAGACTGGCGTCATGATCGAAACATTTCGTGCATTAGGTGCCGAGGTAAATTAATTCAGTCTGATTCTCATTTTTTTTCAATTGTTCATAGATGATTCTTATCTTCTAGGTTCAATGGAGTTCTTGTAATCCATTGTCAACACAAGATCATGTTGCAGCTGCACTTGTTAAAGCTGGCATACCAATTTATGCCTGGAAAGGTGAAACGGAAGAAGAAAAATTATGGTGTATAGATATGGTAAATAGAGACAATTTTAATGAATACTGATTGTGATAAATACTAATTAGTTGAAAATTCTTTTCGAAAGAATGACTTTAACTTTAAAGAAAAAAAAACTTGATCGAGACAATTTCTCTTAAAAACTTGATTTTCATTCTGAAATATTTATTCTAATATAATCAATGTGTTTGTTTTAGACAATCTATTTTGCTGATGGTCAACCATTGAATGCTGTTTTAGATGATGGTTTTAATTTAACTCGAATTATACATGAAAAATATCCACATTTGACAAGTCTCATTCATGGTTGTAGTGAAGAAACAACAGCTGGAATAACGAAATTACGTAAATTATTCAAAGCAAATAAATTAAAAATTCCACTGATTAATGTCAATGAAAGTGTTACAAAATCAAAATTTGATAATAATTATGGATGCGGTGAAAGTTTGATTGACGGTATTAAACGAGCAACAGATGTTATGATTGGAGGAAAAGTAGCCGTTGTTGTTGGATATGGTCATGTAGGCAAAGGATGTGCTAAAGCATTGAGTAGTTTTGGTGCTCGAGTTATTATAACTGAGATTGATCCAATTTGTGCTTTACAAGCAGCAATGGATGGTTCGTTTTTCAAATCTCAATAATATTTTATTTTGTAATCAATGATGATTTATTTTTCTACTTAGGTTATCAAGTCATGACGATGGCTGAAGCATGTAAAATAGGTCAAATATTTGCATCAGCAACTGGCTCAACAGGATTAATTCGCGGTGAACATATGATGGAAATGCGTGATATGGCTATTTTATGTAATATTGGTTCTGGTCAAACTGAAATTGATGTTGCTTGGTTAAAAGCTAATACAGTAAAAATTGAAAATATTAAACCACATGTTTGTTTTTACTTAGTTGAAAGTATAATTTTTGTCTAGTTGATTGTATGTTTTATTTAAGGTTGATATTTATCATTTGCCAAGTGGTCGTGCTGTTATTTTACCAGCTGATGGTCGTGTTATTAATCTTTGTAAGTTTTATTCATATGAATAATAACAATGAACTACTTACTTATGTTTATTTCTTTTTTTAGCTTGTGCACATGGAAATCCAAGTTTTGTAATGAGTAACTCATTTTCAAATCAAATTTTAGCACATATTGAATTGTTTACAAAGAAAGGTCAATATTCTATTGGTATTCATACACTTCCAAAAATCGTAAGTATTCTCTCATTCATTGTTAAGAGCATTTTTTTTCCGTTGAGGGTGTTATTTTATTCAACAATTAATTTTGAATGAAAAATTTTCAAAATCGAGTAAAATGTTTTTCTTTTTAGTTGGATGAAGAGGTGGCCATGGCACATTTGGATTATTTGGGAGTTAAATTAGATAAACTGACACCAACACAATCAACATATATCGATTTACAAGCATGTGGTCCATTCAAACCTGACTATTATCGTTATTGATCATTGATTCATTATCAAAACTCGTTTTTCTTAATAGGACATATATAGATCGCAGCTTTATGTTCGACTTATTTTATACAGTGTACTCTTTTATACACATACAATTGTTAATAAGAAAAACTAGAAAAAAGAAAACTAAATGTTTTCTTTTGTTTTCACTTGCATATTTATTCTTTATGATAATTGATTATTTTTTTCTCTTTTTTTTTTATTACAGACTATCGTCTATAATAGAGATCGGTAACTAAAGTATTGTCGCTAAAATAGAAAAGTTGACAATGTTGATCATTATTATAATTTTGAATGTTTTGTGGAACATAAAATTAACCAGTCAGATACCAATGGAAAGTACGAATAATCATCAATTTATCGCATTTTCTCCAATTGTAGTCCATCAATATCGACGAAGATCAAGTAAGTTGAACTATAAAATTGAGAATCAATCTCATATAAGAATCTTTCTATTTTCTTTTTATTTGCTTTAGTTCCTACAATTATTACTGATGATCATATAAATGGCATATTGGAGAAGCTTGGTAAATATGTCTTTTTATTTTGTTGAAGACTATCAATTCTCTGTTGGTCTTTATCTAGGTTCATCAAAACAAGACCTGACAACAGAACAATTATCTACATTTACTTCTACAACAGAAACATCATCAAGATTATTTACAATAGAAACATCTACATCGACAAATCAAACATCTTCTGTTTCTCTATTTCAAACAAAACGTTTACCTATTGATCCCGATGTTGTTGCACCTGATGGTTCACTCGTTCGTAATTTATTAACAACAATTGGTGGTAGTATGGCACAATTTGATCTTCCACCTGGTATGACATCGAATGCTGTTGAACATCGAACTGTTTACGAAATATGGTATTTCCTATCTGGTCAAGGTGAATTTTGGCGGAAACAGAAAGAAATAGAAGAAATTGTTACAGTCGATACTAATGTATGTATAACCATACCAGTTGGTACTCAATTTCAATTTCGTACAATTGGACGAAAACCTCTCATAGCAGTGGCAATTACAATGCCGCCATGGCCTGGAGAAAATGAAGCTATGCCGAGAAAAGGTATTTGGAATGCAACTTTTATTGGACTTCCGAACTCATCAACAAAATTGCTGAATTCAATCTATCTGTGGATGATTATCCTCACTTTACAAATAGCAAAAACACTATAAACTCAATGATACAGATCTACTTTTTGCAATGCGTTTTATCAAAGATGTTTTTTTTTTGTTATGTGCAATAAAGAAGAGCATGGGCTGTCAATATCTCATGTTTACTTGGCTCTAGTCATACTCTGCTTATTGAAACAGTAGAGCAAGATGTCACAATTTTATCTCATCAAACAATCAGTGATGCATTCTTGTTCTTATATTCACCCTTGCACAAAAATGGGATAACAATATTGATACAATCCATTTTCTTTGTGTTATTGTTATGCATGGGTGCATATATTTTGAACATATGTTCGAAAAGAGTTCAGAAAAAAAAAGAATTGATGGAAACGATAATGTTCGAAGAAGTTAATCTTGTGATGATTTAATGAAATGAGGTCAAGAACTTGATTGGAACTTTTCGTGCAATCAAAAAAAAACACTCCAGACGCATTCAATCTGAGTTATTCTCGATTTCTAAAGAAATGTTTGCATCTGTCAAATTTGTTGTATGGTTCTGAAAAGGATTGTATATGAATTCCACATTTTAACCCCATTAGAAGTTACATTGAGAAGCTTTTTTTTATTTAATTTTTCCAAACGAAATTGCCTACATTATCTGTAGATCATCAATTTTGCTTGTTCTTTACATATGGATTCGCTTTAGGTTTAGTATGTCTCTGATTTTCCTTTGAGAAAAACAGACTCACACTTCTGATTTCTTTCATGTATCGAAAAACTACACAAAGATGAAAAACAAGTAGAATCGAACGAAAATGATTGAGAGTGTGAGTATGAGTGTAAAGCTATTCTAAACTAACAAAATTTAACATGACTACGTTTTCCTAATCTGACTGTTTTTCATTTGAAAATCAATAAAAAGATGATCAAAATTACAATTTATATGTTATTAAATTCTAAAAAATTGCATAGTCACTCTTCTAACAAAAATTAATGAACAATATTAAGGAATGTGAATCGATTTATTATTCTAGAAAAATAAACAGAAAATTCTATTTTAGTTTGATTCATTTGCTAGTCTATTTCTACAGAAACATAAATAATTGTAACATATTTTTTTTTATTACAAATTCTTCATATTCTAGTTTATCGTCACAGTGTAATTTCACAAAAAATCAAAAAAATAAATCATATAATTAAAAACACATGAATAATACAAATAAGACATAACTTGCAATAAATGTAAAATAAAAAAATATATATATAATATATCGAAAATAATGAAGAAAATAAAATGATTCATTCATAAACGACGATTTGAATTTTTCGATACACGTCGTTTAGTAGAAGTTATTTTTAATCGATGATTGCCATAAACCCTGCGTAGATACTGTTTTATAAATAAATTATGTTTTTCAAATTAATTATCTACGAAAAAATGAATACTTACCATTCGCCAAAGAACAAGACTCATTGAAAGTAAACTTATAACAGCTGCTATGACAATTAAATAAGTAGAAAATCCATATCGAACATATATTATTGGCAATTGTAATTCTGAACTCATTGAATATGTCCAATGAGATGTAAAAAGAAGTAGACCACCTAATCCGGTAAAAATAGCTGAACAATAAAATAACCAAATTGCTTCACGATCATAACAACTTTCTTCATCAGCAAAACCTATTTAACTAATTTACATAAAAATAAAATATATTAAACATTGTTATTTTACCAGTACAAACTATTCCAATAACAAGACATATTATACCAACAATAGCAAGACCTATAAAAAAGAATTCTGTGTTTTTTTCCCTAGTTGTATAACAGAAACAATGAATTTCTTACCAATAGAAGGTCGAGCTATTATTTGTTTACAACGAGCAGATTCAAATGATTTATGATTCGGTTGACGAAGATATGTACAAATATCCATTAATCCTGAATTAATCTTAAATACATAACCAGTAGCATTTTCATAATTAATCTTTACATTATCATAAGTCGTTAATGCTGTTAATAATGGTGACTGATAAATAGCTTGAACGGCTTCATAATCTTTCAGTGTAATTTTTTCCCAGGAACTTTTAATATAAAATACAAAAGAAAATATTTTCGAATTTCAATCGAAAAACACAAAAAAATTCTCACCAAGTTGAAATAGCGATACTTGCCAATATAAGAGCAATAAGTTCCAGTATAACAAAATTATAGCGTAACATTGATATCATAGAATTCATCACAAGAAACAAACGTGCCCACTACAGGGTTGAAAAATATGTTATTGACTATATTCATAGGCATGTCTATCGATAGAGAAAAAGAAAAAGGAAAAAAGAAAAAAAGCACATTTCTTGAGACATATCCAGGGATTCATGTCGAAATAATCATTCTTCCTTCGTACATGAACAGCTTGTATTATTTTCAAGATACATGTTGCCAATTCTTGTTTCGAAAAACAAAAATTTATCTTTTAATTCTTCAAAAATAAATGCAACCAAAATTTTTATTTTTTTTTCTAAGTGGTTCGTCCCTAATGGTCAATTAACTTTATGTTTAATTCAAAAGTCAGTTACGATTAACTTTGAGTAACTGATTATTAAAGTGATATTATTTTTTTTTTAAATTTCTATTTGTTTCTTCTATCAATATATGATAGAACGTTTTCGTCATATCATCATTGAGTTAAACGATGATATGTAAGTGTGATTTATTTCTTAGAAATAAAGGAAAACATTTTTAAAATGGTGGTAGGACGACAGTCTTCTATCTTATGTCTGTAAGAATCGTTGGGCTTGCCAAGGTTAATTTCAATGAAAACTTTCAAGTAACGACCAGAAACAAATTAAAACAAAAAAATAATATAATATAAGTTGAACAATCAATAAAATTGATAAGTCATTTTCACAAAAAAAAATATATTGACATACACTTGACTGTTTTATAACCATAAAGCACAGTTAGAGCATTTGTAGAAGACATAATCAATTCAATTATGTACAGATTGATGAAATTATTTTGATATACAAAATGACAGCACACTTCTGTGCATAAATTGATGTAGTTCAATTCAGAAAACAGATCTTTTAGAGATACACACTTGATTATTCAAAGATGAGATATAATTCGAAATAAACAATTGCTAAATATCATTTGGGTAATCATACAGTGCAATTCAAGTATGATTATTATACTCTGCTTATTAATTATTTCCTATGGAATGAACATAAATACTAAAGAGAACTATCAATCTAAATATAGTGATCATATCAGACTAAAAATCTGTCGAGAGTAAAACATTAAACAAGTGCTATGTTCCTTATTGTAGAGTAAGAAGGTTGATCTTTTCTTCACCCACACCCACTTGCTATAGCCGGTTGCGAGCACCTTTGTAAATGGCGTTAAAATAATTTATCTAAACTTCCACCATAGCGCATTGACCGGATTACTATAAGGTGGGATGATGAGACGAAAAATTTCACCTTATTACTTACACCTACTATTTTGCTATGCCAAATATGTTAGTTCTACAAAAATGTTTTATGTTCGCTTGAGAAATGTCAAGATGTGTTTTTAGTCAAAGAAGAAAATTGAATTTCGCTATAGTGCTACCATTGCACTATTTCAAAAAGGTGTGGGTGTGAGATGTGAGTGTTAGTTTTATCTCAACTGAGACACACACCCATACTAAGATCTACAGCTGCCCTCACCCCCACATCCGAATTTTATTAAAGAAATTTAGAAACCTAATGAATGTCAAATCTTACTTTCAATTGACCAAAGCTTTTGAAAGAAAACAGATTAGAATCAGAACACTTACGTTTACTTGAGAAAACTATCTGGCTGATCATACTATCTTATCACTTGTACTGAATATACAACAAATAGATTAACTCATTGAGCTAACCATCTTTCTTCTATTGATCTGTCTCACATAGTATATGACGTAGCATATGATTTGATACAATAAATTATTAGTGGTAAAGATCGAATGAAGTGTTTTTGCACTTTTTGTTTCTGCAGGCTTTTTATGAAATCTTGTTCAATGATCGAAAGTTAGAATTTTCTACACTGGAAAATGGTATAACTGTTGCTTTTGAAATATTTATCATTTTTCTAGGTTATAAAACATGAAAATAGAAGAATTCCAAAATCTTATACTGCATCTTCGTGACAATAAAAGATCATTCCAATGTACAGACCGTGATAGTGTTGTCTCATAAGGTTTTGAGTTGAAAGACAAATTGATTTATTCGAACAATGAACTCTACATGTTTGATCTATACATTGTCACAGAGTGATAGCAACAACTGCCTTAAAAAATACCATTCATACGTTGATATTTGAACAAGAAATGGTATGACATCACACCATAAAAACTTGCACATTAGAGCATTTTTCGAAATATAAATGAAGAGGNGGTTCAGGTCAAACTGAAATTGATGTTGTATGGTTAAAAGCTAATGCAGTCAAAATTGAACATATTAAACCACAAGTATAGATTATCTAATTAGTAACAAATGATTTTTATTAGTTTATTTGTTTTCTATTGTTATAGGTTGATATTTATCATTTACCAAGTGGTCGTGCTATTATTTTACCTGCTGATGGTCGTGTTGTTAATCTTTGTAAGTATTATCTCTAAATGAACTGAGTAATTTTCTATATTCGTCTTTATTTTAGCTTGTGCACATGGTAATCCAAGTTTTGTTATGAGTAACTCATTTTCAAATCAAATTTTGGCACAAATTGAGTTATTCACAAAAAAGGAAAAATATTCAATAGGAATTCATACTCTTCCAAAACGTGTAAGTTTTATTTTATTTACTTCGAACAAGTGTTTTTTTTCTAAATATGTTGAGAAACATGTTTGTCTTTTTGAGTATGTTATTTCACGGAAAATTCACAATATCTTCTTTTTCTGATTCTAGTTAGATGAAGAAGTAGCTTTGGCACATTTGGATTATTTAGGTGTTAAATTGGAAAAACTAACAGAGACACAGTCGGCATATCTAGATTTACATCCCGATGGACCATTCAAACCTGGATATTATCGTTATTAATCATTGATTCATTAGCAAAACGATATTTGTCTTTGAAAAGAATCTATATACGAATATTAGAGCTATATGAACATTTTCAGTTTGATTAACTATATTTTATTTTACAGACACAATAGATAATAATGAAAATTGTAAATAAATATTTATTATTATTTTTTCTTTTATGTCAATAATTGTTCGATTTCTATAATTATTTCATCTCATTTTCTGTTTCTTATAGATTATTGTCAATAATATAGAGCAAAAAATAAGTTTCTTCTTGACGAGCAAAACAATTCATAATGTTAATCAATATTATTATATTTAACATCTTGTGGAATATACAATTTACTACACAGATACCATTAGAAACCACTCATACTAATCAATTTTCTACATCCACTCCCATTGCAGTCAATCAATATCGAAATAATTCAGGTAAATTTTACGATAACGCGGAGATCAACCTAACATAATGATATTTTTTTTCTGTGTTGTCTTTAGTTCATACTATCATTACTGATGATCATATTAATAAAATATTGGAAAAGCTTGGTAAATACTTCTTTGTGTTCTTAGAATAATATGTACTCTCTTTGTTCGTCTTTCTTTAGGTTCATCTACAGTCACTTTTACAACAGAATCATCACCCACACCCACAATAGAAACCTCTTCATTTACAAATCTAGCATCATTTATTCCTCCATTTCAAACCATGCGTTTACCTATTAATCCTGATATTATTGCACCTGATGGTTCATTAGTTCGTAATTTATTAACAACAATTGGTGGTAGTATGGCACAATTTGATCTTCCTCCTGGTATGACATCAAATGCTGTTGAACATCAAACTGTTTATGAAATATGGTATTTTCTATCTGGTCAAGGTGAATTTTGGCGAAAACAAAAAGAAAAAGAAGAAATTGTAACAGTCGATGCTAATGTATGTATTACCATACCGGTCGGTACACAATTTCAATTTCGTACAATTGGACACAAACCACTTGTAGCAGTAGCAATTACAATGCCACCATGGCCAGGTCATGATGAAGCTATGTTGAGACCGGGTATTTGGAATGCAAGTTTTATTGGCATCGAAAATTCATCGACAAAATTAACTAATTCAATCTATCGATGGTTTATTATTGCCACTTTCCTCATCGTAAACATAATCTGAATTCAAAGATATAGATATGCTTTTTTAATAAATTTTATATAAAATATTTGTTATTATTTGTAATAAAAAAATGCATGAACTGTCAATGTCTAATTTTTAATTTTACCCAGTCATATTGTGTCTATATAAGTAGTTGAACAATGTTTAGATATTTTTTGTTTCAACAAATTCTTCCTTAAAAAATATCTCATTGTCATACTCAACTCGATAAGTTATAAATGAGTTCTGTGAAATTATAAAAAAAATACTTGACTGATTATTATGTGATTTCTATTCAGCTGGGTAGTAAAGTTAAATAATATTTCATACACGCATCAAGTATCTTTCATTTTTGAGATTTTGAAAAACGATTTTGAGATGAATGAAATTCAGACAGGCATTGTAGCTATGTGTTGTGTTTGTGAATATTCTGCTATAATGACTCATATGTGTCTTTAAATGACTCTTGTTATTGTTTTTAATTATTAAATAGTGCAAGTGTGTTATATTCAAAGGTCTCTAATTCATACGTGAAACAATCTTCATCGGCAAAATATCCTCTTTCTGGCTGCTAACAACGTTTTCGTAAGTTCTGTTTGATCAACTTGAGTGTCTACATTGCAAGTAAAAGATGCTATGGAACTCTGGCAAGTCTTCATGCGGATAAGTATTTTCCAGCACCAACTTCTACATTCTTCGAATTTATCAAAGAAGAAGACGTGCATCAGGTATGATGTTTTGATCTTGTTGCGTTGAACTAAAGATTATTCTAATATTGAACATCACCGATACGTTGAGTGATTTCACTAGAGACTGTCATTTTAATTTTTGAAACATGATTGATAACGATTGAAGAAGCATAGAGGGAGCAGTATTGGCTTCCTGCAGGTGGATACCATTTTCGTTGACTTTCCTGACCTTTCTAGCGATTCTCACCATGGAAAACAGCAGAGTTTAAATGTTTGACTTTCTAGCTTTCTTCTGGTTTTCGTTGCCGTTTTGAAGCTTTTTAAAACCAAATCTGCACTAGGGAAGATATCAAAAAGTCAAAACAAATTTCAAGAATCGAAATTATGCTTTTCCTTTTGTTTTTCTTCCTGCTCTCTCCTGCTTTGGCCGACACAGACATGATGACATGTTCATCTCATGCTTGCACAGACTGTAATAGAACATAGTATCTTGCAACGAGAGAGATGTTCTTACAAGGCTTTTGTTTCCAATAAAAATGTCTCGGTCGCATTTCACATGTTAACTCTATTGTTAGTGCACTGATCACAACGTTTAACTGTGTTTTTCGCCAGATTCAACCGAAGACTCTTCTTATTTCAATTGCATATCGCGTTGGGTTGGGCGTGGGTGAGAGACTTCTCTCTTCTCGAATCACCAACACCCTTCACACTTCTTCGTCTTATTAATCGCATTTTTAGTATTGTTGACAATCGTGATCAAAAAAAGTTGATAATGATTGATTTACATCAATAAATCAGATTCTTGCCAATGTTGCCGATTGTCTTCGTCTAGGTGCACTGCTACATCAATCTAAACGAAGCTTGTGATGAAGGTTGTGGGTGTACACTGTAAAAAAAAAGCGTAGAATAATAAACCCTTTAAGGGTTTATGAAAGTGCAACGAATAATATACCCTTTTTACCGTATGTTACACTTTTCATAAACCCTTTCATAAACCCTTT